ACAGACAACCTCTCGTCAATATGCGTTTTTTGCATTGCATTACTGCAAAAAACGCATAAAAAGGGACTTTGTAAAAAAACCCTTCTGTTTTCCAGAAGAATGCTCTGCCTTGCTCATTTCTAACATCGATTTTTCGAACAAATCATCTGTCATAAAATAACATCAGAAGTTTAAACCGTGAATTTTATTTTTATATAAAAACTACTGCGATAGAACTCTTGATTTTTGAATGGAACAAATTGTCCGATAGTTGGACAGCATGACTGTAACATAGCCGAGCAGTCCACGAATGTAGCAAAATGTGGAAAACAAAAATGAGGGAAATCCTCTCCTCTTGAGATGTGTTTTATCCTAACGGAAAACCCTCTTGTACCCCGTCCCTCTTTTCCTTCGCACTCCTTTAGGAACTGTGAAATGATTGGGATGTCAGACTTCTGAACTTTCAGAATTTCTAGAAAGAAAAAAAGAATCACAAAGTGGATCAACAGAAGATTGAAATTTTGCCCAACCAATGTTAGCGACTGTCTGAAATTGCTTCAACGCCTTCAAATTAAGAAATCCTTGAAAAATGTTGAGGCGGGGATGATCCACGAATTTACTATAGATTTACCTGAGCATTTCCTGTACCCATGCCGAAACCGCCTGCAGCGCTGCCAATTTTCGAAAACAGTTTCATAACTTTCGGGTTCGACAGGTGTTTCGAAATGTTGGCCGGATTCTGCGTGATGTCCATATATGCCTTCAGAACAGTTTCATCTTGCAGCAGGGACATCACCTCCGGATCCTGCAGCACCTTTTCGAACCCGGCTGGCATTCTGAATCCAGCGCCGCCGCCGGTATCACCAGCATTCTAAAAGAACACTGCTTGCTGAACAACACATTGGCAATGTCTTGCCCAGTTGCAGTCAATGGGCTGCAACAAATAACCGATGACAAGTTGCGGTCACATTTCCGTATAAAAAATAATTGTAAAAGAAAATGCATGTTACAAAGATAGGCTAATCTGGTGTTATTGGCAAGGATGACAGACAACAGATGGACGAAACGAAAAGCTGAGTGGTACCCACGAAATTTTAAACGAACAACAGGGAGAATGCCACTGATGCATTGCTAATTCGAATGTACAGAGTGTTTTGGATACCGGAAGTACAGGGTCATATTCGGTGTAAAAGTTGTCAGATGTAGGGGAAGGGGAGTTTTGGTTTATGAATTAACAGCTGTTCCAGATACTTCCAGTATAAACCATAAAAAAAAATTTTTGTGGGCCGTGTAAGATAGTATTCTATGAAGTTACTGAACATCTTGGTGATCCTGTCATTTCTGACTGATATTGAAATTTCATTGAATTCAAAAACTGCACTTTTAAATGATCAAAGAGGAATGGAATTTTGAGGTTGCTTTTTGAATTTTTTATCTGAAAATCCACCTTTTTTGCCTCCTCCTCAGCTTGTTTTCGTGCTTCCTGTGCCTGTCGAACTCGTTCTCGACGCTCTTTCGATTCCTTTTCCTCCTTGCGTCGCTCTTTATTGCGATTGTGCTCGATGATTTTCTTTGCCTTAAACAATTTCATGACGAATATTTTAGTGAAGAAAATCTCAGTTAATTTCTGATTTTCTGTGCAATCGTGTCGCTCAAGCCGACTTCTTGATATGATATGCTTTTTCACCAAACGGGACATATCCATATACTTAACTATCCGATCAGATGAAAATAAATAGCAACGCACACCAGACTAGCCGACCATGCGTTTTGTGCAATTCAGTCCATCGAATGATTGCGTATTAATGATTCTCACTGCTTTCTAGTCTACGCAAAAATAGTTCAAACATTGGAAAACAGTTAAAAATTTCACGCATCAGCGCATGAAAGCTGAATTCGAGCCTTGAAGGGTGAATATCTTTCCGTGAGGTAGTTTACCCGCAAAAACTTTTACTAGCCTGTAGGTGACAGCCGAGAGCGCGGGAACGCTGAATTTGAATGGGCAAGGTTGAGCGTGGGCAGGGGGTCACTGCCCTAAAATCTCAGCCTCCTAGACTCCGTGGTTCTCAAGATATTAACTTACCCGTGAAAAACTTTCATGGGGCCGCACGTGTTACCCGCGGGTAAGGGAAGGATGAATTTGAATGGGGAAGGTTGAGCGTGGGCAGGCGGTCATTACCCTAAAGTTCCAGCTTCTAGACTCCGTGATTCCCGAGATATTAACTTGCCCGTAAAAAACTTTCACGGGGCCGTACGCGTTACCCGCGGGTGCGGGGAAGCTGAATTTAAATTTTCGGGGTCACACGTGGGTGGGGAACGTTCCTCTAAATTTTCAGCTTCCTAGCTTTTGTGGTTCCCGAGTTAAAAGTTGCGGACAAGTTGCTGCGGACACACACACAAACACACAGACAACCCCGTGACAATATGCGTTTTGTACTGCTGTTGCACAGCACAGAACGCATAAAAACAGTGCAGGATTAAGTTGACGGCACGAGACTGCTAACAGCATCGACAAAATTCATCACAGAATGAGCAAGGATTACGTCCCATTTCACGTATTTACAACCCACGCTCTAAAAAAAACCTCGGACGATTTTTCCTTTTCCTTCAAAAAACTCCTTGAGCTCAATGAGTAGAAAGCGTCGGATAAATTACGAAACAGGAAAGAGAAAAAGCTGTTTAGGAGCTAAAAATTTTATCATTTCCCGTGTTCTTAGCTTCCATCCGGAATTATCGTCGTAAATAACAAGAGACACGTAGATGTAGTGCAAAAACATGACGAAATGAAGCTAATAAATCAGACACGAGATGAGCTAGAGCTTTTTTCCATCACACAGTTCAGAGCAATCATTTTCGCCCAACGGCTATTATTTTTGGGAGCTTAAAACTGGAAAACAGAAGGCGCTCAGCCTGGATCACCAAATCCTATGGAAGTCAACTGCTAGGCTCCTCCCTGGTGGTAATGCTTTCAGTAATAGCATAAAATTTCTATAAAAAGGGACAAAACTAACATAATTTTAGGTCTCTTTACTCAAAACTACTTCTTCACTGGCCAAATCTACGTTAGGACCTTTGTTTTTGATAGCAGGACCAACCTTCGACAAACAGAGGCAGGTTCATCGCAATTTTGGGTCCCTTGGTTTAACACGGTTTCTGCGC